GCGGACATTGTTTGTGCAGAATGTTTCTGCGTCTTGGCAGATGGCGTTTACGCTGGCGTTCGTGCCGATATTCTCGGGGTCGTAAATGGAAGAGACTTCACGACAGGCGTCGATGCGGTCGCGGCAGCCGCCTTCACGATAGTGTGCGTCCACCATGCCAGTATACACCGTCTCGTTGACTGTTTCGATTCCATAGGTGTTGTTGAAGGCCATCTCAGGGTACGAAGGCCACTGAACCTGACGATCGATGCAGCCGTTCACGATCAGCAAGGTGTCAAGATTGAGAATGTACTGCGCCCCTTCGGTTCCGTCCCATGTTCCATTCTGAATCTTCTCATTTTGTTCCTGGAAGTATGCAGCAAAGGCAGGTCCGTAGCGTCCGCCATATGATTGAGTGGCAATGCTGATGCGGTCGTTGTTCGGGTGGTAGCCTGGAAACTCCTGGAACCAGACCTGAGAGAAGTGCCAAAGTGCGATGGCGGCATTGCGGCTGCCCCAGGATGTGGTGTTGCGGTTGTCGACCGGGAGTGTGCCCGTTTGGAACGTCACGTTTTGGGCTGGGATCGGGGAAGATGCGTTGAGGGTTTGGGTGCCCCCAAAGAGATTGCGGGTCACGTTGCGGAGTGTGTTGTAGGAGAAACCCACTTGGACGGGTTGGTCAATGTAGAGCATGTTGACTTTCTCAGATTAGCCACGCATACGAATCAAAGATATTCAGAGTACGCATACCGTGGTTGTTCCATGACCATTCGCTGGGTCGCGTGGAGTTGGAGTCATTGTTGATGTGGCACGGCCCGTTCTCGTTGAACAGCCCCGGCATTGACGAGCTGCCCGGCCCACCGTTCATCCAGATTGAAAGTGGCGCATTTTCCGGATCTTCTTTGGCCTCGAAGAACCAGAAGAATGTGTTGATCTCGTAGTCTTGCTCTTGACCCACTCCCTCGAGAGTTCCGGGAGGGAGGTGAATGTAGCCGGCGTATGACTTTACACCCTCGGTTTCCTCACAGAGATTGGGCTACGGTCGTTAGGTGTTGTCCAGACAGACGGGATCAGAGCGAATACCTCTTTATAGGATATCGTGATGTTTTCGTCAAACTTGGACTTGAGGACTGTGACTCCTTCAGGCGCCGGCGGGAATTGGGCCAGCGAAGACTGGATCAAAGCTGTCGCAACGACGACAGCAGAGAAAGATTTCCGCATCCTGTCGACGATGCTCAAGCTATGGCCATGGCCGGCTTCAGATTCAAGAAAAAGAGATTGTAAGATCTTTCTGGCGCGGCATCTGGGGGAGTACGAGCAATCGCTTTATGTCATTAACTCTGATTTTCCCCGCTCATGTTGATTTCTGACCTTCCTACTTCGGCGCTTGGTGCTCAATGATTCACCATCATCGTGCGCTTATGTACGGAGGTTGCACCGCCAAGGAAGTCGTATCAAGCTTGCCCGGAAGCCGATTCGGTTTTCTGATGAGAGGGGCAGGGGATGGGTGCGGGGTCGCTGGGAGACCCGGAGGAGGCCAAGACTCGGCTGCGGGATGCGTTGAGTTGGCGGATGAATTGGCCAATGGGAGTGATTGCTCGAAGCTTGAATTCCCGCTTTGAATGCACCGCTGGGGAAAAAAAGGCCTTATCAAACATCCTGCTCATCCGGGTGCTGGTGATCCTCATGGTGCATTAGGGTGAACGTTGATGTACAGCCGAAAATTGAATACAGGACAACGACGACGACTACAGCAGCTTCGACAACGATCATCATAGCGATAACAACGAAACAGAAGCTTCAATTATCGCGACGACAATAGTCAGGATGATGGGACGGCCGATGATCAAGACACCAATAACAACAATCTGAAATAACAGATAAGATGAGTAAGGAGTACTCCGTCCGGCTAAGTGGAAGCATCCGTTCGGATAGCACTCCCTAACTTCAGACAAGACAGCCGCACTCGCGTCCAATGATGATTCGCAAGAAAAGCCAAGATCTTATGAAGCCCAGGCCATCATTTTGAAGGAATAGCTGGCACTCAGGTCGGAGTCCTTGCGTTTCCGTTATCATCCGGACTCAGCTCCGAAAGGCCCGAGCCAGAGTGGATTTCGACCGGGACCGGTAGGTGGGGAATACCCCGCTCGGTATTCGGCTCGGGGGCCGGCGTGGGAGGTGGATCGGCACGCAAAGCTTGAGGCTTACTCATACGCAAGGTCCTACGTACGGAGGTCTCGGCGTCTGCCTCACTTTTGCCGATGTTGCTGTCGAGATTCGGGATCAGATTGGCCTGTGATTGCGACATGCCTGGGGGAATGACGCCGCCGAATCGCGTTTCAGGGTTCCCCGCAAAGCCGGAGCACAACCAAGATGACGCCTTTCCAGCTCGGGATGGCAAACAGCTGGAAGCGCACCACGACCACTGAGAGGCATGGTGTTGGTCGTCAACTATGTGTGAAAGCATCCTTTCTGACAAATGCAATATTGAATAATGGCGCAGTGATTGGCTCGCTGAGATGTTGTTGGAGAATTCTATGTACACTTGACCTCGGATGCGCATGCCGTCTTGAATCATGATTCGATTGTCCCCACCGACGGATGTTTGAGTCAATATTAGGGCGTGGTTGACCTCGCGAGAACGACCATATAAGCGTCTTAAGAGCCGGCCTTCGGTTTGGCGCGGCATCACTAAGTAAACCTCTAAGACCATCGTCAAAATGGCCGCCGCTGCAGTTCAAGCTCCTCTCCTCGCAGGACCTCCAGGTCAACCTGACATTGGCTACGCACCTAACCACGACAACTATCTGGCAAGGATTCAGCGTCGTCACGAACAAGAAAAGCTGAACAATTCTCTACCCGACGGTTTCCCTCAAAAGTTGGAGTCAGAGCTCGTCTGGGATGGCAACACACTGGCTGAGACATATGACTGGAACTATGTGTTAACGGATGCCGACAAGAAAGGGGTCGATGAAGCTCTCCAGCACTTCAAGTGTATGTGAATAATGCATGTTCGTCAACCTGGGCCGTTTGAGTAACTCTCCTTGCAGCACTGAAGAAACCCCCTGGTGAGATTAACCAGGAGACATTTCCGCTGCCCAACTTGCACAAAACTCTTCGCGCCATCTCCGATGAGGTTCATAACGGACATGGCTTCAAAGTTGTGCGCGGAGTACCGGTCACTAAGTACACCCGCGAAGAAAACGTCATCATCTACGCCGGAATCTCATCTCATGTCGCACCCATCCGCGGGAGACAAGACACTCAATTCAACGGCGAGCCAGCGGACGTTGTCCTCGCTCATATCAAGGATCTCACAAAGGTCGTCGACGCTCAAAGAATCGGGGCACCCGCATACACCACCGACAAGCAGGTATTCCACACCGACTCAGGTGACGTGATTGCACTTTTCGCCCTTGGTGAGGCTGCTGAGGGCGGCCAGAGCTACCTTTCAAGCAGCTGGTTTGTCTACAACGAGCTCGCTAGAACGCGGCCTGATCTGATCCGTACTTTGGCGGAGCCTTGGAATGCTGATGAGTATGCGATCATTCTGTCACATATCCAGCCTCAATACTCACATCATATACAGGTTCGGCAAAGACGGCAGGTCGTACAGCACCCGACCTCTGCTACACTTCCAACCATCAGAAGGCGACAAGCCAGAGCGCTTGATCATCCAATACGCACGAAGAAGCTTCACCGGATACTGGGGACTTCCCCGATCGTCTGACATTCCTCCCATCACGGAAGCTCAGGCTGAAGCCCTCGATGCCTTGCACTTTACCGCTGAGAAGTACCGAGTATCTCTCGACTTTCACCAAGGAGACATTCAGTATGCGAACAATCTGAGCATCTTCCACGCACGTGGAGGGTTCGTTGACTCTGAAGAAAAGCAGTAAGTCGAAGACCATTGAATGAACGTCAGCTGAATTAATGCTAAAACTTTGGCCAGGCGTCACCTCACACGCCTGTGGCTTCGAGACCCCGAGCACGCTTGGAAGACGCCGGAAGCGCTGAGGGAGAGATGGGACAGAGTATATGCTGGAGTGACTGCGGAGAAATCGGTGTTCCCTCTGGAGCCGCAGATTCGCAGTGCTAGTCGAGGTGAATTCAAGCCAGAGAAAGAGGACGCAAAGGCCTAGGTAAAAGAAACGCCATAAATCAAGCCTGGCCAGTTGCCTCTTGCCCGTTCGGCTGCCACCTGTTTTCTTGATGCTAGATGCACCTCCGCCGAGCCAATGAATGAAAAAGGTTCAAAGACGAAGTATCATCCTACATCAAATGTAATTGAATTAACAATCAAGAAGTAATCCCCTATCTCATGACTCGCTCAATTCATTTCACGATCGCTTGTCGATGGCTGGCTGAATACCAGTTGCGAGCTGCATGCTTGCGCAGCACGATCGCATCTTCCCAGGACCGGATGACGTCGTCACGGCATGGCACAAATTAGGCTTGGCCTCCGCGGCGTGAACCAACTCCGTGTGCTTAAGCCGAATACCACTAAGAGCTGAAGACACCTGGGAATACATCGGGCAAACCAACATGCCACAACACTTGAGCTAAGACGACTCCAAACCTTATCATCCCACTTGCTCGTTGGATTGCTACAACCAACCCTACTATTGCGTTATCGGGACCTTGGAATGCACAGTCGCAACACCCCCACAGCCCGACGTGAAAAAAGCGACCTAGTGCCGGCTTCAAGTATCGGTATCAATCGGCATCGCATTTCGGCGCTGCATTTGGTGACTTTGTTCTGGCGTTGTGGGGATACAGGCACCTTCCACCCCGGGAGATAATGCAAGCTGGCGTAGGCGCATGGGTCTGTGGGTTGGGAGAACGGCCGAGGCCGAGATGGCACCCCGCGGAATGCCATGATGTTGGTGTTTGCATACATATACTGCCATCCGATCGTCCAATGTATGAAACTCCTGAGTTCAGTGCGTTCAGTTAGGTTGCCTCCTCAGATTATTTCACCGCTGTTGTCTTTCTGCTTTTGACCACAGATCGGTCACACAATGTCTTTTCTACGGCGACCGTTTAAAAGTCGCGGCAGTGAAGACAGCGTCGATGCGAATTCGGGCCATGAATCGGACGTTACCGATGGAAGCCTTCACTATGTCGTCGAGAAGGGCGGAAACAACTCGGGCCCCTCTTGCCAGGAGGCAACCGGTGCTCCAGTTGAGACGAGTTCACCGTTAGGATATGCTGTCGGGCCCGTCACTATCGTCTTTCTCAATGTGAGCAAGATGATCGGAACTGGCGTCTACTCAACCCGTACTTCACAGGCATGCTCTTGTTGACATTAGCACTGACAAGCCGCAGCCTCCGCCATCCTCAAGGGCACTGGTTCAGTCGGGCTGAGTATGATCTACTGGGCCCTGGGATTCCTGACTTCCATCGCCTCCTTTTCAGTATATCTCGAATTCGCTTCGTACTTCCCAAACAGATCCGGCTCCGAGGTAGTGTATCTGGAACAGGCATATCCGCGACCGAAGTGGTTGTTTCCCACGGCGGTCGCCTTCCAGTCTGTGGCACTGTCTTTCAGCAGTGGCAATGCTATCGGTAGCCAGGCATATCCTTATCTCTTGTATCTCGTTGCTAATTAAATTCAGTCCTTTCTCAGTATCTGTTCAAAGTAGCTGGGTCGACTCCAGGGCCCTGGCAGTTGAAGGGTGTGGCGGTGGCTGGGTACACTGTCGCCACATTAGGTGAGCCCACCTGCAACTCTGAGGCACGATCTTTCCCGACTTACTGACTTGTTACTCTCACTTGTTGCTCTACACGACAACTTCGCTTACCAGTTTTCCAATGGAGTCGGCGCCGTCAAGTTGTTGACGCTAGTCTTCATCGCCATCACCGGATTGGTTGTACTAGGAGGTCACACCAAAGTCCCTGAGCCACATGCAACACTTCGAGAACTCATTTGATGGTCAAGCGACGGCTTACGGCTTGACGAATGCTCTTTACAGAATCATTTTCTCGTATGCCGGTTTCGAGAATGCCTTCAATGTCGTGAATGAGGTTAAGGTATGTTCAGGGATGATTGGGCAGTTTGATTCTGGTCTCTACATAAGTACAGAATGCTGACAGAGTGACATTCAGAACCCGGTGAAACAAATCAGGAAGTACGGGTGGATTTCTCTTGGCATCGTGACTGTTCTCTACATTCTAGCCAACATTGCATACTTCGCCGCCGGTACGTCTTGGCCAATACACTTGTGGCGTCTTCAGGCGACACTGACTCACTTCGAACAGTACCGAAAGCGGACTTGACAGCAGCCGAACAGATCGCAGCAAGTCTATTCTTCGCCAACGTTTTCGGTTCCAGCGGCGCGGTCAGAGGGCTCAATTTCCTCATTGCCTTGAGCTCCTTCGGCAATCTCCTAACCGTGCTGATCGGATCTTCCCGAATGTTACGAGAATGTGGAAGGTACGATGAAGATGAGCATGTTGTAGAGGATCGTGCTAATAGAGGCTTCTTTTCAGACAAGGTGTTCTGCCCTATCCTCGATTCTGGGCATCAACAAGACCTTTTGGCACGACCCTGGGTCCTTATCTCGTCAAATACATCTTGACTATAATTATGATTGTCGCTCCTCCCGCCGGCGACGCTTTCAACTTTAGTAAGTCTGCTTCATTCATCGCAACTATCATGTTTTGAGAGCTTGGGAACTAACACAGATCTAGTCGCCGACCTCCAAGTCTACCCTTCCGCATTCTTCGGTTTCGTCATGTCAGTGGGGCTCTACGTCGTGCGCTGGCGTCGCAGTCGCCTCAATCTTCCTCCGCCTGAGTTCAAAGCATGGGACGTCATTATCATCTTCAACATCGCAAAGGACTTGTATCTCCTCATTATGCCTTGGTATCCCCCTGAGGGTGGCGTATTTGCCGGCGATGTGAGCTTCTGGTATGCTACATATGTCGTTGCCGGCATCGGCATGTGAGTTGGCCCCCGGAAACCCAGCATTGACGAAGAACTCGCACTGACAACAATTACTAGTCTTCTTGGATGTGGTGTGTACTACTGGCTTTGGATCTATGTGGTCCCGAAGGCGAGGGGCTACCGCATTAGGCAGCAGGTCTTGGAGCTGGCCGACGGCGCTCAGAGTCACAAGCTTGTCAAAGTCCCGGTTGGCGACTTAGCTGAATGGGATGCCACGCACGATCACGTTGGACGGCCGTTGCAGCAAGTTCCAAGTGTTCCAGGATCCGAGGAAGAAAAGAAGCCAGCAGCTGTGTGAGGTTTGAAGAATTCAAGAGCAATAATCAGCATTCGGCTATTGTGGCGGGAGATAGATAGTTGTTCATGTCCGTCAGCATTTAGCCACGCATTTATCAACAGATACGTTTCCTATGCTCTATTAAGCTACACCATGGATGAAACAAGAATGAGGCAGCCAAATAAGACGTCATGATTCAACCTTGGTAGGTGTCTTGATTGCCGCAGGTGCCGTTACTATCACCACAATTTTGTCGTGGTCCTTTAGTAGAGGGTCTGCGACGAAACTTCTATTAGGTTATGATAAAATTGTTGGTTTGCAGTATTGATGTAGTATCTAGTTGCCAACTCAACGTCCCAGACGCACTCTCCGATCTCTTGCAGTATTAAATTCAAGCCTTGCAGGTATTGCAGTTGGCCCGAGTTCAGTCGTATCTCCAGTTCTCGTCCTTCTTGCTCTGGTCCGTCACGCCATAGCTAATATCCATGCAGCATGCCAGCTGCGCTCCATTACAGGTGTAACCCGGCCAGGAGGTGGTGCACGTGGCACCAGCGCTAGCGGCGAAGAAGACAGCAGCGATGGCCGCGGCGAAGCCTGTGATCTGCATGGTAGGCTAGGTTTTGGTCTAGTCACCAACTTAGCCAAAGCTTGTTTGGACAAGAACCTATCATTGCACCTACAGTGATAATTGCGATATAAACTATGTATAACATGGTTCGCGATTTCGTTGATTTGGCAAAGGATGATGGTGGTTGTAGGAAGATCATTTCGCTTAAGGTTCTGGCACACTCTTTATAGTTCGGCCAGTTATGCCGGCCAAGACGAGGACAATTTGTGTGTAGAACTTTTAATCTATCTCAAATGATAGTGGATTGCTCTATAGTATGATTGTGTCGGAACTCAGGAGTAATTCGTATTTTAGAGTTATCCCGCCGGCTGAGAAGTCATCCATAGTAGCGGGCTAGAACCTTCTCCCGTCGGTTGGGCCATGACTCTGATCCTGGGGAGTGCTGGTCAGTCTGTGGATACAGAAGAAATGAACAGATTGTCTATTGTTGGGAAGTTAATATTCTACTCTTTGTTTGAGCCGAACACTCTCTGACTTGGCCATCGGAAGGAACCCGTCACGCAGCACGTGTGGTTTACTATCGTGAGTCAACTCCAGTTCTTATATCCGAGCTGTCCACAGCAGTCGAATTGCTGCACGCCCTCATAAGCCAATATTAGGTCCACTCGACAAGCCCCAAGAGTTCCACAAAGCTAGCTAGATGTGCCAAGAACGAAGGAAAAGACCGCCAGTCTAGCCCCCTAAAACTCAGCGCCGTTTTCCAAGAACACTGAGAAGCAAAGCGAAGTGACACAAAAATACATGACGCATGCATGCGGATTCGCAGTATGTATGTCGTTCATGACGACCTCGAACACCATCTATTTCTCCCTGTTCTTCATCTAAATGAAGCTCGAAAGAGCTCGGCAGCAACCCAAGCTTCTCAACGGCATCTCTTGACAGTACCATTTGATCGATGGAAGGATGCCTGAGAAACAGTAAGTGATTGGGAATGAAGTTGACCATTCTGGGCAGCATATCACCTATGTAAATAGCCTCCTCCTTCGTATAACCAGATGCCTCAACGCAGTGGCGCAAATTGTGGTCACTCGAGCTCGGGCCAAACGCAATCATTGTGATTCACATGCTCACAACGCAGACAAAATCTGGACAATCTCTGTCATGCGTGAGGGCCAACTCGGATCTTTGTTTGCAACATCTAAGAGAAATACACCAAAGTAGTTGGGATTGAGGACGAGGGAATGTCTCTTGGGATTATTTGTCAAGCACATCTTGTGGGGCCTTAGGAAATCCCTGGAGCCCTGTCATTTGGAAGAATGCTCCGAGTTTGATATCTTGGTCGCGCTGATTTGAAGGGAAATGAGTCTTGTGGACTGTTGGCAGCCTAGGCTCATATTCCGTCCGTGAGGAATGGACTCGAGCATCTGATCTCGGGGGTGATCACTCTCTGGAAAGGTATTGCATGTTGATTTGAATATTGAACCCACTCTTCGTCTTGCTAACTTCCGTACCCACTACTTCTGTCTGCCACTATTTACGTCGTGAGAAACTGACAGTTGGGGACGGTTATCTGATCCGGACCTGGAAATGGTATCTTGCAATCTATGCAACTGAATTCCGCTTGCGCCCTCGGATTATTAGATGATCTTCTCATCCATGCCACCGTCTCGGGGGGTATTAGTACTGGAAACGCCATCTAGGGTCTTTGTCGCCAGGCCAGTCGTTCAAGTCTCCAATAGCATTGACTTCCTCCGCAATCGCTTCGCGCCTCTTGTTTTCTCCCTTGAGAACGAAGTACAAGACAGCACACACCGCAATGTTGGCGATCAGGTATGCCAAAGCCAGAGAGTGACCGACAATGTACCGCGGGCCATCGTTTGAACGATACAGCTGGGTGCCCATCACCGCGCCAAGGTTGCCGATGGTGATCTGCATAGCGTTGCCCACGGCGCGCTTGGTCTGACCAGAGACGTTGATGGCAGGCCATGAGAGGACCAGGGCAGTAGCAGGGTAAATGCCTCCGGCGGCGAAGAAGGTTCCGAGGTATGAGACACCAGGCTTCCCCGCGGGGTCGGTGTTGGCGAGGAGGATGATATAGCCGATGGCTGCGAAAGCGGAGGATCCCATGATGAAGAATGCTCGGCGGCCGGTTCGTTCGGAGTAAATTGCGACGGTCAATGTCGTAGCGAAGGCAAGAGCGTACGGTGGAATCGTGAGCAGTTGAGCCTTTGCAGCGGTGTACCCAAGGTTCTTAATAATGGTAGGCTAGCCAGGTCAGCTTTTATCGCTCGCTTTGTTAACGTTGATCACCTAGTACTCACCAAAAACAGAGAAAACGTGTAGAGGGGTAGGCTCATGGTGTGAAAGCCCAGACCATACAACCAACACTTTGGGTCCTTGAGAGCGTCCAACACGTAGGCCCACGTGAAGCGCTCATCGTGAGTGGCGTCGCTGTCGGCAGCCAGTCGGGCGCGGATGAAACGACGCTCCTTGTCAGAGACGAATTGAGCAGTGTCGGGGTAGTTCTGAATGAACCAATACGCGGCGACAGCGATGACGACGGTAGCAATACCCTCCTGGTCATAGAGTTAGTGTCATGGAAGTGTCAAGTCAAGTTGAGTACGAACCAAAATGAAAATCCATCGCCAACCATTGGCCCACACGATGCCTTTCATGTGTCCAATGCCCTGACTATTGTTAGCAAGCTGATTGAATGGTAATGATGTTGAATTACTGACCCATGCGAGGATACCACCGAAAGCACCTGCAAGAGAAGCAGCGCTGAAGAAGAGGGAAATGCGATATTGCCGCTCCCGACGCCGGTACCACATAGAGAAGTAGAAGACAACTCCAGGGAAAAGACCACTTTCCGTAACGCCTAGGAAGAACCTAGCGACAAAGAAACCAGCCATGTTGGTGCAGATACCCATCAGAGTAGCAACAACACCCCAGGCAATGGTCAGAGTAGGAAGCCAGAAACGAGGGGTCGTTCTCTTCAGGATAATGTTGCATGGGATCTAATTGGAAGTCAGAGACATGCGTCGGTAGTTTTCCAAGCCTTGGAAACGACTGTTGGCCTACCTCGAAAAGAACATAGCCGATGAAGTATAGCGTGAGACCAGTAAGATACTCATTTCCAGCTGGCGAAGGTCAGCCGGCCATTGACTTCATAAGGTACCGTGTCGTGCGAGGCCCGAACTCACTCATGTGCAGGTCGTCGGTAAGACCCTCGATTCTTGCGTTACCAACTGCCCTTGTATCAGCAATTACGTCTCTCGAAATACCCTCACGATGGCTCACCATTAGATCGGTCAAGGAAAGAAAGCAGATACAGAATTCCGACCGCGGGCAGAAGCTTTGCGTCAAGCTTCCGTAGCAATGCCTTCTCGTTCACGGCCTCCTCTCCAATCTCGATCTCTGAAGGACTCTCCGCTCCGCTGGACTCGTTCAGCGGCGCCTCTGACGCCTTCTCGGGCGCGAGGTCCGGCTTCACCGCGCTCATCCTGAATGTCGGAAGAGCCTCGTTCGATTCGACAATTTTTCTTTGATGTTGTTTCCTGAGGAAAACCTGTACGTGAAAGCCTTCTCTCGGTCGCGACCTCAGCCGTGCATTCACCTGAAGTCGATTTTGACGCGGGTTGTGTGTTGGGTGAAAACTCTACGGCTACGCGCACGGCTTTTCAATGCGGCCCCAAACGGAAGCGAAGAGACCAGACGGCCGGGTTCAAATCTCTGCAGGCAATTAAGACACAAGATTGGCGAGGGAGAACGAGTGTGGATTGGGGGCCTCGCCCCTCTTCGGTTGGGTGTCATTGTGTCGAACCTACACGTATCTGTGAGCATTTCTCACTGCCATTTCCCTGGGTACGCATGGCATCATCGGTCCATGATGACATTTACGGCTCCTCATTCCAATTTCATCTTAGCTACCGTTGCAGATTGTCGGTGTCGAGTGGATTGCGCAATTGGTGGTGGGTGATGAAACACAAATTCTGTTGGTCGTGATTGGCTGCTGGCCCTTCAGTTGGATCACGACATGTTGAACCCGATGGCGACATCGTCGAACTGGGGCTTTTCCCCCAACTTTCTCCAACAACCCCCCAATTGTCGCTCTGTGATAAATAACACAGTTCGCTTGGCAAAGTTCGAGGTGAGCCCCCACGTGTCGTGTAATAAGCCAACAAAATCTTATTTCTCCGCGCAGCTGGATTTGACACCTGCAAGTGCCGCGAACCGTTCGTGCGGGCGAACATGAGGCCGAGAAGAAAGTCGACCGGCCGCGGCGTGGCCCCACTCTGAGATTTCGGCGCCGCGTCCGTCTCCACACACGTCCGATAGACCCACAGCTGCGCATCGGAGCAACACGGACGATGAACAAACGCCCAAATGCCGCTATTCATCCGGAGACACTCAATGCACACAAGTTTCGGTGTTTAATTCTTCATTCGATTCA